AAGGCCAGTAAAAAAGATTATATATAAAAAAAGCAAGGTAAGGGGATTTCTAGCAGTAAAAAATGTTTCTGACAAATAAATAGTTTTTTTCTTGATTTAGGGCCCAAAAGTGGTAGCCCAGTTTCATGCTATTTAGATGCATCCTTCTTGGATGTTTTTGAAGACATCTGTTGCATGTTTTGTTGTTGTTTTAATATTACACAACTCTCACTCTTCTAATTTGTGTGCTCAGTCTTTCTTCAAGCAGCAAAATTCCTTTATGTTACAAATTCCATTGTGTTACCATCAATCCTTTACAGATGTACCTTCTTCCCTTGCATTACCTGCCTATCTCTCTTGTTAAAAGGAGTCTGGAAGCTTAGCGGAGTCTCCTAATGCTCAGAAGTGGTTACACTGATAGCCTGTTAGCAGGCAGCTTGCCACCAGAGGCTGAAGCCAATGTCATCACTTTGTTTGTGTTACCATGCTGAGCACAGGCTTTGCAATTAAAATTCCACCAGATGTTTCTGAGCAGAGCTACTTTGCATTAATTCCATGTGCTACAGTACGGCTCCATCCGTTCTGACCCCACTGATGCATCTTTGCTTTCAGTGTTTCTTTTCTCCTAATTACTGAATTATTCTGTAAGGTTTGTGCAATGAAATAATTTTATACATTCGTAAAAGAATTCAAAGAATTCCCTTTCATGTCACGTGAAGAACTTAAAACAGCACACTTCTAGCATGTATGTAGCATACTTCTGGGCAGCAGTAACAATTTTTGACTGAACTGATCATAAGGAAAGCCTTTATTGCCAAGGCTTCTCAGGATCCTTCAGGATCAGCTAGTTAGATTTGCTCCAGTTTTAGGCTGTGTTTGGAAGTGAAGTTTTCCCAAATGTAAACCCAGAGACCTTTCTGTATAGATTCCCACACAATGTGGGCAAATCAGATGTCATGCCTATGCATTCTGGCCTGAATTAATACAATTTACATACAAGCAGAAGTGAACAGACTAGTAAGCACTCCTTTGAATATTTAGAAATTGGGACCATTGTACAAGTTCTAATTCATGAGTTTACGTAGCATAGGCATTCTTTGTGAAGTAATCAAAACAATGTTGTTTCACAAAGGTGAGATCAGGTTTCTTGTCCAAGACTGCATGCCCCATGAGCAAGATTTTCAGAATATGCCTAGATTTTTAAAAACAAGCCTTAAAAATTGAGATGCAAACCATTTTAACGTTAAAAGAGTCTTGAAGATTAGGGGAATTGCATTTTGATGTAGCACAGGAGGATTTATTGCCAGTCCATTTGCCTTTGCAATCAATAGGATAGCCCTGTTAATGGGTTTAGTCTTTTGTCTGCCAGCACAGTTGTTCCAATTTCTGATTTGTTCCTTCCCAGTATTAGAAGGTATTCAGCCCTAAAGTTAAAATTATGGTTGGCTTTGTTAACAGAAATGATTTCTCAGCAGTCTATTTGTGTGTATTTTGCACTTTGCTCCTTTGTTCCACACTTGGCTCTTGATTATTTGATGCATAGTGTCCCGCAGAGCAAATCCTAGTGGACTAATTAAGAACTGCCCAGAGTATCCCGAGTTATGCAAGATCCCCACAACTATGAAAAGCCTTTTCAGCCTCCCAATCACATACTGTGAATTGCTGTAAATCAAACTTTTGAAAAGAGTCAGAGCCGTGCTGCATGTCCTTATATTCTAGTTCCAGAAGAAAATGGTTACCTTTTACACTTTACTGCTCTTTTTTTTTTTCCCAGTATTATTTTCCGTAGCTTAAATCCCACAAACTTTGAGCATCTTGAATACCAGTAATTTAAGGAGAGGTAGATTGCTGATAATGCACATTGGTGACACTGATGTCTTTATTTTCATGTGGATGTGTAAGAGGAAGTGAAGTGAGAGCGATCGCTTGGACTCGTATGGCAGAGCTGAGGCTGCACGATAAAGGAGACCAAACCTCTGCTTCTGGGTGTCACATTACTGCCTGTGGAGGTCAGGCAGATATTTTTACCTCAGTGTCACTATTGGGAAAAACTTGGAAGACATCAGCTTACACTGAAACTCTAGGAGGCAGCCAGGTTAATTGTTAAAATGGGTCATCAGTGTCATTGCATGCAACAGGCCTCATGGCTGGAGCCCTGTACGTGTCCTCACCTCACACTTCAGGAGATCAATTGCGTGGGTTGCTCAGTGCCATGCTACAAGAACAACTCTATCTTTGTCCTTATTGCAGTTTGTTACTGAAGTGTTTTGTTACTGGATAAATTGTTCTTCTGGGTTAGTGGATGCTGGAATAATGCACGTTACACTTACCCTTTATCTTTTTCATTAGAATAAAGATCAGAGACAGATTGCACTGAAACAGGCAGAAGCCAGCTGCTGTGCATGCTCTTGCAGCTGAATCCACTGTATCCTGTATAGTAAAATTACAGCTGTGAGATACAGGTAATTTTTTTTTCTTTAAAAAGCCTTCCTTTGGCCAACAAAAAAGGCCCACTGGCTATGCATGCATCTTCTCTTGCTACTGAGGACAACCATATGGAGCACATGGCAAGAAATGACAGCTCTCACTTCCAGGTGGCCAGTTAGGGCAGAGAGAACAAGAGTTGCTACTGCTAATTTATTTACTTATTAAACACACTCAAGCAAAGTATAGCAGCTGAGCTTTTCAAACTTCTGCCCCATTACTTTTTTTCATACAGAAAAACAAAACCACAGACTGTCAAATTTTGGGTTTGAAATACATGATAATTTAATTGAAATACATGGTAATTTAAACCAGCATTGGCATTTCCCTTCTCTTAAATATTTAATTCTGTTTAGTTAATTCTATACCTAAGTGAGAGGTTTCTGTAAAATAAATTAACCTATAGCCTTGAATTCCAGGATGCAATTGATTTTAGCTGGAAGAACAGGTCTTAGCTGGAGCTATGAGGACTGCATTCGAACCAGCTCCACAAAGTCAGGCCAGAAGGAAGAAGACAGAAGTATTTATTCTCTTTGTAGAAGCTTCCCTGAGTTGAAGTTCTTGTCTCATTCAGGGTACAGTGCAACTTGTCTGAGACATGCAGTCCCTTGGAAAACAATCGTATTTCATTGTGAGGTCTCACCTGTTCAACACAAATCATGTATTCTTTTTTTTTTCCTATGATTTCATTTGCATTTTAACCTGGTACGTAGTCACTTTTTCTTGATTCTTCTATGATTTCACGTAAAAAAGAGAGAGGAAAATATTTTAATGTTGAGAATTCTCTCCCCATCCTACCCAATAGCCAATAAAGAGAAAATTGAGGGTGTTCTCTATTCTGTCTTCCAGATAGCTGAGTTGCAAACAGACATGACTTCATAGATAGATTGTGGTGAGGTAAATACTGCTTAAGTTACAGTGTAGTTATTTATAATCATTCAGCAAAAAGTTAAGCATGCGATTTGTAGTTTGCATAAACAGATCCCTAGATACCCATTGGGCACATGGAGGGAAGATGCTTAGCGGATCACTGCTGTTTAAGTTAATTTTGTCTGCTGAAGCTCTCCTGGTTGGGTAGAAAATGGTCCATGAATATGCTCTGCTCTGGGTGTGGGAGGGGAGGAGGACTGTCTTTTATGTCTCCTGAACATCTGCCTGAGAGCCACTGCTTTGTCATGAAGGGCAGACAACTGGTTGGTGCCAGATCCTGTTTCATCACTGGATGTTCACTACCTCTGTTCCAGACTGTTCCATCTTTCTTCGCCTCAGCTTTGCTAGACCAAACAAACACCATTGCATCAGCTTGCCCTTACTTGTCAAGTTTCTTCACTGCTGATCAGCCTTTCTTTTCTGGGTTCTTCTCAGTCCATGCTTAGGGCTGAATACTGTTTTGCAGCTAAAATGTTGCCAGCATAGAATAGAAAACAATAGCTAGTTCAGTGCCTACCCTTACCCCCTCTTCCCTCCAGGTAACATTTTACTGAATTTTCCTACTGGACAAAGAAATACATATATATAAAGCCTTTTTTAGTCAATAAAGGAAAAGGAGATAATTTTGGTAGTCATTCTGTTAGCACACACAAGCACTTTTCTCTGAAACCTAAAGAACGAACAAACTGTACAGACCTTTCGGGAGTGCTGCCAGATTCCTTCTGACGGGAAAACTCAGCTGTGTTTTCTGCTCATGTGGGTATTGTTGCTATGTGGAAAGTTCAAGACCAACAGCTGGAAGCGTGTCGAAATACTGTGGAAGGTTATCAGATTTCAAAGAGTGAAGTTTTTATTCTAAATCACCAGCTGCCATTTAATTCAGCCTGGTTGGAAGAGTACGCAATTCCTTCAACTGATCGTAGAATCATTAAGAAGGTTGGAAAAGAGCTGTAGGACCACTAAGTGCAATCCCCCATGCCCACATCCCTTTTCCTAATATCCAACCTGAATCTCCTATGGCACAACTTAAGGCCATTCCCTCTTGTCCTCTGCACCTCGTACTTCTGTGGAACAACAAAGGCCAACTGTACAGACCTGTGCAGATTGCAGTTTGGGGATAAAGATCTCTAAATATTACCTGGGATGTATCTTTGGAAGAAGAGAAATAAAGGTAGGAAACAGCAAAATACCCATTACAAATTATTTCTTATCAATGCAAGAACTAGAATATTATGTCTGAACTTTTATCCACCATTTTTCTCACACTGGGATTAAGAAAAATGCAGTTATCAGCAGCCCACTTTTTAAACACACACTGAATTTACAGTTAACATACTCTTGCAGCTACACTAGACCTCTAATATAACACAACTCATTAAATATGTTCTCTGCAGACCTCATCAGGCAGCTTAATTTATGGTGGACTTACCTTCAAAATCCATGAGTTTTGTTTAACTTTGCTGACATACCAGCTGTCAGGTCAACCATGTCCTCACTAAAGGGTGTGCCAAGTGAGGCAAACAGGGGTTTATTTCTTTTGATGAGGAAAAAAACAGAAATTCTGAGTCCTTTTGAGCTCTAGAATAATATTTTACAAAGGAGGCAGAGAGGGTAGGAGAAAAAGAATGAGAAAAGTGTGCATGAAAAAAAAAAATGCAGCAGTCTTAGAAAAAGAGGAAAGCACTTGCTAGGGGAAAGCATACCTAATAGGTGTATATCATCATTATCACATAATTGACAATGAAGAAATTTGAATTCTCTATGCCAGCCTTGACGATGGTTAGGTCTTTTCCTACCAAACCAGTCCCACAGGTATTTGTGTATGTACTTAGCTCACGTGGATAGCACAAGTGACTGAAGCTGCGGTACATGAAAGTGTTTGCAAGATCATGCGGAACTGAAATGATACCATGTAAAGGTTTGGCTAGCACTTCAGCTGGTATAAATACAGAATCATAGAATCATTTGGAAGGGACTCTTAAAGGTCATCAAATCCAACTCCCCAGCTCTACATTTTAGACCAATCAGTGTAAAAATTCTTTTGTGTACACTATGAGTCCATTAATGCATTATTTTTGAAGTTTGGGAAATGAGGATTTTGTGAGCATGCACTTGTCTTCCTCTGTTGTCTGGGACTATGGTGATACATGTTGGTGACAACTACTGAGTGGTATTTATAGCTTTGTTTTGTTCTCTACTGGAAAGACTAATCTCTCAGAAGCTCCATTCCAGCACCTCAGATTAATTGTCTACAAATTAACTTCAAAAAATTCTAGTGCAGAAGTTCCTTCGCTACAGGAAGTATCCCAGCTGCGATAAGGGCGCTGTATAGATAGCAGAAAGGAGCAAGGGGCAGGGGATGGTCCTCTTTGGATGAGTCAGCAAAAGATGGCCGTGAGCAGCTCCTAGAAGAAGAATACATACCGATAAAGTCAAGGAAAAAGAAATACAAAAAGAAATACAAAAAAAAACCCCTGCCTACTTCTAGTATTTTCCTTCAATAGATCTGTACAGCTCTTGCTCAGTGTTGCTTATCTGCATTTTGTGAGAACTACGGGAAAGAGGGATAAGGAAATAGAAATCCTTTTAGATGAACGTGGTTGGCATACAAGTGTAAAATACCATAAGCTTTAAGCAGTTTGGTATTTCACATCAGTGACCAACATATCTACATCGATGTCTTTATTGCATCGCCAACTTGTGGCCTCTTAAGAGTGTGTGTTTCTGGTATGACAAAATGAAAGCTTATTTCAGGTCACCGCCTCCCTGTTCTGCATCAAAACTTTTCACATCAAAAGCAGCTTCATTTCAATCAACTGAAGCATCTCTCTGAAATATCACACCACAGAAAGATTCCCAAGGGCTGCAACTGTCAACAAACCCAAAGTTTAAATGCTTGTATCGCACAAGAGGTTTGTGAGGAAGCTCTTTGCATTTGCCTGCATGGAGGCATAAGCCTGCATTAGTTTGAAGTTTGTTAATAGCAAGGTTTTGGCAGTGGCACAGTTAGTTGATGACATGTATGTATCCATACAAAACCTCAAACTCATGCACTTATTTCAGTTGAGTAGGTGTCAAAAAAATCTAATTATGGGTTAGAGTTAATTATTAAATAACACACTTAAAGAATTAAATTCAGGCTCATTTGAACATGAAATAACAGATTTGCCTGTGTTCTGTAATTGGTTACTAACTGTCTTCTTGGATTATCTTGACAAAAATCTGGGTAAACACAACGGTAATGGATCAGCAACTCACATCCTATTACAGATACTTAAGTTGGAAAGCCAAATACAAGAACAAAATCTGTCTTGGTGATTGCTGCAAGCAGTGGGTTGATGTGATCTTTTAATCCAGCTGGCTTTTTCCATGAGAGGAATAAAACCATGGTCTGCAGGAGCGACTGACTTCAGTCAACAGGTTATGACAGAGGAAAGTGAGTCACTGTCATTCCAAGTCCAGTTAACAAACCTCAACAAAAGTCACAGCAGGAGGGAACCTATGCAATGGCTGCTTCGCCCCTTCCAACTCAAATGATTCCATGATGACTTTATGATAGTAAACAAAAAAAGTGTTTCAAAAGTCTTTGGATTGTTAAAGAGGAAGAAATTTTCCAATCTGGCCCAATTCATTCATCTTACCAACTGGATCAAACCTTGTCCAAAACTTTTTGGCTCTACGCAAATAGGAAATGTTGTCCTGTAGCTGGTAGCAGGGCAGCTAACAGGGGACTCAGGATTGTGGAACTATTTGAAACGTGCTGTGGAAACAGGAACTTCAATATATGATATATATATGTATATATATACATCAAAGGCCAACAAAACAAACAAACAGAAAAACCACTAACACTACTGGTAAAAATGAACAAGAGCGCTGGGTTCTGCCTCTTCACAAAACAAATTAGGCTTGTGCCTATTTGAATACTCAGCACTGCCATTAGGGATTTTACTGTTCAATGAGTACAGTACACCAAGAGAAAATTAAAAGCCAAAGACCACTGTTACTTTGGAGACTGTGCCTCTGTCATTCTGATTTCTGAGTGTTGACAGCAGAGTTCTGAGATGAATTTTCCTGCATGGATGGGTCAACTGTTTAATGCTCAAATCATGCCATCACTCAGTAGTAAATTGAAAAGGATGGCCAGCCAGATCACATGCCAGTTTGAAACCAACCAGCAAAAATAATAAGAAAACAAACAAACAAACAAGAAACTGAGCTTTTCACCTACAGATAGAGGCAAGCTTCACAAGTCAAAAGCAGTTTCCATGTCAGTAGGAAATCTGAGACCACATAAGGAAATAAGTGGTTCACTAGTCACCATTTTCAACAGTGAGTAGCTACTTTTGTAGCTTAGAACTACAATCTGGGATCTGGGAGAACACTGCCCTCTGGAAATGGAAATTGAGTCTTACCTGTCGCTGGTTTTCAAGGTGCATAGTTTGTGATCTGTGCTGAAGTGCCAGGGGTGAGTCCTAATGCTGTTTTCTTTGCCTGAAGACAGACAAGACAAGGGAAGAGTACAAAATGGCCTTCTACTGTTAGAGCCTGGGTGATCTAGCAAGAAAAACAAAGTATAAAAGGAGTAAGATGGGACCTGGAAATGGAACAGCAACAGAATATAATGTTTCATTCCAGTCCTCTTCAGTTGATAATAAAGTTAAAACTGATGGGAGAACTCCTTTTTAATTACTAGCTCTTCTTTGGGCACTTGTTAATAGGTCACTACTCCCAGGAAGATTTTAGCACATACTGCTGTGTGCTTCATGTTTTTCAGGAATTCTGTAGGAATTTGTTTCTTAAATTACAGAAAATCCTATTCTAAATCTGGCAGCTGTTGGTCAGAACTAAATGCTTGGAAATGCAGATGTCATTATAAGTTAGTTAATTCCCTGTGGCTCGAGATTTATTTCCAAAGGTAGGAGGAATACAGAAAAAGTGTTTCTACAGTCAGCTCATGCTTTGGATGACACCAGCAGAGGGCAAAGATCTGAGAACAGACTCTTGTACTTGGAAAACACGTACATGTAGCACTAATAGTAATGTTTATCCTTTTCTTGGAATAGCTGAGCTGAATATGTTTCAAGGTAGAGATCTTTCTTTGTTGTGTTCCGTGGGATAGAATTTGCCAGATCCATCTCAAGAATATTTTTTCTTCCTGCATTATTCATACTGCTATCAAGCAGAATAGTTGACAAGCTTGGTACAAGAGGGATTTTCTCTGTCATTACTTGGTTGAGTTTTTGTAAACAGGTGACCTGGAAAAAAAAATGAAAATAGAGAAAAATTACCCTGAAAACTTTCTTCCAAACTCTTTTCTAAGCAGCTTTGTCTTGGAATCTAAGGCTGTATCAGTGCAGATAAGGGGGTGAGCGTGCAGCTGTTGAGCCTTTAGATTCGCCTAATTCAACTTCACCTAATTGCCTCTGTTGCTGTGGCAGCACAGACCTGTAGGCTACCTGTCCTAATTTTTACTGCTGTCCTACACTGTTTCTGCAGCCTGTGCTGCCAGCAGCCATCGTCTCAGTAAAAAATGAGTTGTTCAGTGTAAAGTTAGCTCTTATCTAGGTACACAATCTTCAGTTCTTTTGGCATGGGTAGGCCTGCAACAAGTTCCAACATCACTTTGAAAATGAGAGTTAACAGGGTTGTTGAGTAATCACAAAACAGTTGTCCTTGCTGTTTAAGAAAATGAGTTGTAGATGCTTTTTTCCCAAACTGACATTTTAGGGAAAAAAGAAAAACACCCAAGAAAGTCTAGATTTTGCCATTGCATTAAGGCCTTCTCAAGGAGAGGTTCAAAGTGACTTCTAGGCAAAGGATGTCTGAAGTAAGAAGGTAAAACAGGGTTTTGTTAACTAAATATAGTTGACCTTGTTAGGGACACAAAAAAGAGTTTGGGACATTTTGCTCCAAAGTGTTTTATTATGCAATGCCAGCACTGGTAAGAGAGTCAAGAAGCTTAGGAAATAATCTTGTAAGACTCTCAAAAACATGCAATGTACTCACCTCTGAGTTGTGTACACCTGTCTCAGTATGAATACTTCTGAACCTTTGCATGCATTAAGTGCTGTCTCCTGGGGAAAAAAATATAGCACAGGAACACTGGTAAGAGTACAGAATGTTTGCTCAATTCACGTTTGTCAGGAGCTAGAATACTGACACTGCCATTTTATGGTGACAGTAAATGTAACACTCGAGTATGCTGATACGTAGTGGTAACGAACTGCATAGAAACCTTTGCATTTTAACACGTTAGTGGGTGTAGAATCTGACTCAAGCCTACCCTGTTCCTCTTTCTCCAGCTTCCAATTTAAAATCCAGTTTTTGATTATGCAGGAGAAGGTGAGCAAAGCCCCGTACGTACGCTGCGCTTGCTATAACGTGTTGTCCTTCAAGCATCCAAGTGGCAGGAGTTTAGTGTTCCACACTATGTCTGCAGTAAGGATGTGTTGGTACTTGTACAAGATGGGGAAAACTAAGGTACATCTGCAGGGGATTTGCTCTTTACACTTCAACACTTAGGGAGGAATCAGTTCTCAAGTATCTCCAGTACCTTTGCCACAGTCATTCTGGACATAATATTCATCCAAACACTGTCTGGGTTTTGGAATGAATGCTTTCTAACCAGTACAAGAACACCTGCCTGGGTTCTAGACCTAGCTTGTTTCTACTTGAGGCTGATACTTGCTCTCACTTGCATTTCCCAGTCTGATACAGCTGGCGACTGGAAGGACGCTGATTTCTACAACCTTGGGTAGCAGTTGAGATGGTTTCTAGAGAAGACCAGTCAGAAAACTTCACAGTGTCTATTTTCTTCAACTCTTAAATGAACTGGAAGCGCCAAAGAGTACTCTCCAGCTCTTTAGCATATCCAGAAAGGCAATAAAGACAAAAGCTTTCCTGCTTTCGTACCACAAAGATCAAAGAATCAAGTGATGTCCTTGTATGGGAGTAAACTTAAGATTGCACAAACCTTTGTGCACATCAGATTGTAGCTTGCAGTAGAGTTTGCTTCCTTATTTATACCAGTAAAAGTTCCATTTAGAAGGTCTACACATCCTACAGGAGGAATAAAGCACTTTAAATACCAAATTGCAAATCAAATTGTATGCATGTTTGGCATCAATATATTGCAACTACACTAAGTATGTTATTGGGTATTAACTGTGCTATTGTGAACAGCTGGCTGAACTAGATTAAATCAGTTTAAGTAGCTTCTACCTCAGACATCCTTTGATTTTCTTTTTAAATAAATTCTGAGACTTCAGAACTCTTATATGATATTCAGCATAAGTTATTTCATGTACATTAAAACAAAGACTGCTTTTAGAGGCAAAACTAGAAGCGTTAACACTCTTGCTAGTAGGTGTGCTAGCCTTTAACAGTGACCATGACTACTTACTGCAACAGGCCATTTCAAGATAAATAACTCGCTCCAAACAATAAGTCACAAACGAATAGCTACATAAGCACCGTAAAGTGCATGCACGGATACCTCGGGTGTGTGTGCCATTGCTGTGGATGTAACCTAAGCTCGCAGTTTTACGCAAAGCCTTGTAATAATGTCAGTCCTATTGTGGATAGGAGAAGTTACGTTGGGCAGCCACAAGATGGCAGCTGGACGTGAAAGCTGTGCGAATACCAGCACGGTTTGCTCTGTGTAACGCTTTGAGAAGGTCCTTCTCAGCCTGCAAAATGTAGGAGCCCTACCGTCAGCTGGTGTGCAGAACTCAGCCCACAGCAGAGGAGCCTTTCTCAGTGTCTGCCTCTATAGAATGGGGATTGTTCTTAGATTGCAATAATTATTACATAATGCTTTACAAACTTTGTTCTAACCGTAATAAAAGGCAAAGGCACATTTGAATAGACTGTGCTGTTTATGTTAGCATTTCCCTACAGTAAGGGAAATGACTGGCGCAGTAAAATCAGACAAGCAATAGAGAAATACCCTTACAAAGTTCCTGCCTGCTTAGGTTCTCCCAGGACAGTACTCCAAAACTGGAAAACAACAAACGTTTGTTAGTTGGGGATCCATATTTATGTTCTCATCATTTCCAAGAGCAAGTTCATTGGTTTGAGAAAGGATTTTTCTACGTCAAAGTTTGTCCAAACATCTTCTCTGAGGAGATTCTTTTTCCTGCATTATTGAGCTTCAATTTTCAATTAAAATTAAAAAAAAAAAAAATCAAACTTGGTTAAATCAGTAAGAATTACATTTCAGGTTATAAGCTACATTTGCTCCTGAGAGCTTTCTTTTCTCCTTTCTCCATCATTTTTGTTTGCAAGTAACTTAAATAGCAGCTGAATGAGCAGGACATTACGTTAGGCACTGACAGGCAGAGCAGTCAGTTAAAAAACTTCCAAACATTTGATTCTGATTCACTGCATGTCTGTGACCTTCAGCAAGTTTTGCTGACACTCCAATATGTTCTTCCTTTTCTAACACCCTAGAAAGCATCCCAATGATACCATATATCTATATGTATAACCCACAGGTCAGATGGTCTAAAATAGAGTTATTTGATTAAAAACCTGCAACCTGCAAAATTAAAGGCAGAAGCAGAGAGTGTGCTAGAAGAGAGAAAGCAGGCTGTAGGCAAGTTAGGAACAAAGAAACCTGTAGGGGAAGAAGCAATGGTAGGATGAACTTGACCACGCACCCACATCCTGCTGTACTGCTGAACCATGCAGCGTAGAAGAACCCCCTCTTCTGCTGTATTTGCACATAAAATCTGACACTGCTTTTACTTAAATACCCTCTACTAAAACATTAATGCAACATGGATATTCGTGCAATCATCAACCCATCTCCACCATGCCCACTAGGATCCACGTCATTACAGACAATCTGGGGTTGTCTCATTCACTTAGGCAACTAAAAGCATATGGCAGTTCCAAAAGAGACAGGTAATCTTCCACCGCTGTATAAATCCTAAAGTTAAAAGTATGAGCATTTGAGTGGCTCAGTAAATTGTGCCAGCAGATTCCACGTTGACCTCCTGAGAAGAATGCAGTTGAGATGAAGTCACATTTTCATCTGATCATGGACATTTCTTCCTGAAACAAAGTCTAACAACAGTTCACACTTAGAAACCATGTGAATTGTAGTAATTAGTTTCCTAAACTTTTATAAAAGTGCTTTGGCAGCTGCTGCTTTAAACTGTTTGGTTTTTTTAAACTAAAATTATATAAATATTCATATCTGACCTTTGGGAACAGTAATCTATTATTCACCAAATACGAGGAATTTCCCATTTATCTCACTGCTGTAATTGACTTTATGCAGAATACTATCCAACCATGTTAGGTAGATCTGGCATTTTTATTGTAGTGTCTTTGAGCATAAGTATTTCAGCAACATCATGGAGTGTAGCAAAGATTAGAAATCCCACTCACCTGTAAGCGTCTCCTTACATGAACACGTCTTTCAGGAGGGAGGAACACTGCATCCTGGCACTTCCTCACTGCAGTTCTGCAGGTCTGATCTCAGCTGCTGTTGCCTTTAGTTGGTTAGACCGTAATCTGGACAATAAACAAAAATTATGGTGCTGAAGTTGAATAGCAGGCTGTGACTACTGCCCGTAATTTATGTGGGGATCTCTTTCGGCGTAGCCTGTCCTTAGTTTTGTCATGAAAGATAACTTCTCTTATACGCCTCGTGGGTGAGTGAGCAGAGAGACATGTAGCTCATCACTTGCTATCCCCGTGAGTCCATGATGCTGGAAAATCCCAAGAGAAGGCAGGAAGAAAGCATTCAGGCTTACAGCATCTGACATCTGCTATTTCCTGAAGCAGCAACTTCCAGTCCCTGTAAAAAGCAGCAAAGGTGAGAGGCAGTTTAGAAAAGGGAATTTCATCCATCAGTGGGAACGCAGGCAGTGGAAATGGGAGAGAACCACGAGGTTGGATGCAGGCTGATACAATTCCACTGATAAAACCAGTAGTGTGTCATATCCCCAGAAGCCTGGATCCTTCTGCTTTTCATGAGATCCACACATAAAAGGAAATTAAGATCTTCCTTGCATATCTGATGGGACATTGTCAAAACGTGACATAAAGCAGTCAGGCTGAATTCAGGCGATGTAAGCAGCACTACTGCAGTGAATGTCGTGCTGAAGGTCGGCTGCAGTTGGATTGCATATCTGAATTCAAGTAGGCTGTATTTACAGAGAAAGCAAAGCCTTATTTTGGTCACAAGAATGACATTTTGCTGTCTAACTTCAGACAGCGACTTCCTTGTGTACAGGAAGCACTGAATTGTAGATTCCCTTGGGCATTTCTACAGGAAATAAACCCAGCTGCAGCTCAACTTTTTGTTGTTTTGTATTTGTTTTTAAAAATCTGATTATTTTTGTGGTACTGCTGAGTTGGAAATCCATTGGAATTCTATCAAAATTCATTTGATTTCAACAGACCTGGAGCTTATTGTTCTAAGTTAAGATTTCAGTTTCTGTTTCTCATAAACGTGTCATGATCCACAAGCCTGGGAGCTAATTACTGGGAGCAATCACAAAGCCAGTATTTCTCAGATGATTTTCTCCAATGGTTTTTGTGTTCCTTTCAATACGACACCAAAAGTGTCAGACAACTTCTCTGTCTTCTCCAGGTTAGGATGGGCAGGAGGCAGATTATAAAAACCCATTTATTTCAGGTTTCCATTTTAAAAAATTAGTTTATAGTGAAGAGGTTTTTCTAGGATGGGGGAAGCTCTTCTAGGTTAAGCTAACGTTCAAATGCTCAAGTAAAAGAAATTGGAAGCAAATATCAACTTACATTTGAAAACGCGGGCATAAAAGGACAAGTGACACAGCGAAGCTGCTGCAGATGGCCAGCACAGCTCTGCTCTGATCTGCTGCTGGAACCATGAGTCATCTGCATTGTTTGTCACTCCTTCCATTGGCTGCCAGCAGACATTTCCTGGTAGGATGCTGTAACTCCTTAGTGCCTGCAGACTGTTTTCACGGGCTCATTTATTACCTGCCTGTAACGAATGAGATGGATGCTTTTTTCCTCACAGTGAGAGCTCTGAGGGAGGCATGTGATGATGGGGACACCGCAGCCTCCAGAAGCAGCGCCTCCTGGGGGAGAGTTCAGACCCGCTGTCAGGAGAGGAGACTCAGAGCTTCGCGGCTTGTGGGACAAACTGGGTTTAAAATAGGTTGGCTATTCAAGAAGCCGAAACGACAGGGGGTTTATGCTGTTGATCACAGTTCAGAGCAGCAGTTCCAGTCCATGTCACGTGCAGTCTTTGTACACCAGCGGGCTTACTGTGTACACAGCATCCTTCTCTCCTCTTGTCTTTTTCTTCCCACGTATCTTTCCATTTGTTAAGTTTGCCCCATGTGACTCTCAGATTGCAGCTTACTGCCCTTAGCCATTCCCTATCCCGTTTGGATCTTGCCATTCATATTCCATGAAACTCTTGCAGTGCATCCCATTGATGAGGGGAACCAGACATTATTCTAACCCTAGGATCCTACTGACTATGGCAAGTTCTGATGCTATGGGGACAGGCAGGTACTTTAGAAATCCCCGCAGAAGGAAATCAGACCACAGGGCTGTGGTTACACTTAGAGTTTTAGAATTACGTGAACAAACAAGCAGCATAGCTTACTGTTACTTACAAGGGAGACCTCACTGCAGCCTTCCAGTACTCAAAGGTAGCTTACAAGCAGGAGGGAGACCAACCTTTAACATGGTCTAATACTGATAGCACAAGGGAGAATGGCTTTAGACTAACAGAGGGGAAATTTAGGTCAGCTGGTAAAATGAAGTTCTTCACTCAGCAGGCTGTAGGGCCCCGGCACACCTGCCCAGAGGGGCTGTGGGTTCTCCACATCTGGAGGTGCTCCAGGCCAGGTTAGTGGGGCCAATTCCTCTTCTAGATTTCCAATGTCCCTACCCCTGGTGATCCAGCACTCAACAGAAGGGCTGAACCACACTGCTGGCAGCTGGCTTGCTTGTGCCTTACTGACTATCCCCACAGCTGGTGCGTGAAAGAGGGAGAGAGAATCAGGATTGATGTGTCAGCAGCTTGCTTCCATGTGGTGGCTCTGTGTGCTGTATGATCACTTTGTACTCTCCCACCACCTCCTGGAGCTGCTCATCCTGTGCCATGCTGGAGCCCCTTGGACCCTGGGTCAAACCGTGATTGTTAGCCCCTAGAGCTCGTTAGATGCCTCTAGATCTCTCGCACTCTATTGGCTTCCCTTAGTTTTGTCCTTTCCCCCCCTCCCAGTACAATCCAGTTCTGCCCAGTCCTTCATTATATAACCTAGTGGAGGAACCAAAACCAGTAGGAAGCTCTGTGGGGGCTGGGGGTAGGGGAAGTGATAGCAGCATCTTGTGACAGAGGGAGGGGGGACATGCGGAACAGGGGAAAAGAGGAGACATGATGACAGAGAGACATGGGGATTATTGAGGGCTAGAAGGACATGGGATCTGCAGGGGCATGGGGGCATAGAAGACTGTGGGAACACAGGGGAACATGGGAACCCAAGGGACACAGGGAACGTAGGAGATCATGGAGACATGAGGGACATGAGAGATATGAGAATATGGGGGGCATGGAGTCACAACACAGAGCATCAGGGAGGTGGCATGGGCACTGGGGACAGGTGCCACTGCTGCTCCTCTAGAATGTGACAGCAGTTCCCACCATCTACGTCAGTGGTGACATGAAGTGATACCACAACTTCCCTTTTTCACCCCAGAAAGGAGACAGCGGCTGAGGATGATGGAGACAGCAGAGGAGAAGGCGCGGTAAGAGGGGAAAAGGGGGGATCCTGTATGGCTCTGTCCCTGTCCTTGCCCCCAATCCTGCACTGGTCCCATCCCCTGCACCCTTCCTGTCGGCAAATCCCTGCATCCCTTTCCCCAGCACTCCTCATCTTACACAGAGTTCTTGTCCCCAAATCCTCAACTCCTTATGCCAAGCCAGTTCTGCACTGGGTTTTGCAGGGAGGAGGGTTATACTGGTCATGGTGGGCAGTACTTGGTTATACTGGTTGGGGTCAGTGAGTCATCCTTGGCAGCACTGGGCTGTTGTGGTCCCTGTGCCCCAGCCCCTGACCCTCCCTGTGTCCCCCAGGCCCAGCACCAGGATTTGTCCCCCCCACTGCTGCCCACCCCAGCTGCTGCTGCTGCTGCTGGTGACAGTGACACTGATGCCAAAGGTGCACCCATATGGCTTTCGCAACTGCATTGAGGATGTCAGGGCATCTTTGCGCTTCCGCTGCATCCAGCGCTTCCTGGAGTCGCCGGCCCTGGCAGTGTCTGACCTGCCACCACACGCCGTCTCACTCAATCTGTCATACAACTTAATGCGCTGCCTTCAGCCCTCTGCCTTTGCCCGCCTGCCACGGCTGCACATCCTGGACCTGGCCTACAACCATCTGGAGACCCTTTCCCCTGGTGCCTTCAATGGATTGGGTGTGCTGGTGATGCTGAACCTGTCTCACAATCGTCTGACCACACTCGCCGAAGGGGTGTTCAACAGTTTGGGCAACCTGTCCTCGCTGTGGGTACAGCATAACCCCCTGAGCACGGTGTCACCTGGTGCTCTGCTCCCCCTGCTCAACCTGCGCCGTCTGTCTCTGCGGGGCGGGCAGCTGAACGGTTTGGGGGCGGTGGCAGTGGCGGTGCAGGGCTTGGCACAGCTGGAGCATTTGGACCTATGTGAAAACAACCTGACAACGCTGGGGCCAGGCCCACCACTACCCGCCTCGCTGCACACCCTGCAGCTGTGCAACAACTCGCTGGGGGATTTAGCAGGGGGGAGCCCGGAGATGCTATGGCACGTGAAGATACTCGACCTCTCCTACAACAGTATCTCACAGGCGGAGGCCTTCGCCCAGCTCCACCTGCGTAACATCAGCCTGCTCCACCTGATGGGCAACCCCTTGGATGTCTTCCGCCTGTTGGACATCTCTGACATCCAGCCTCGCAGCCTGGATTTCTCTGGGCTGGTGTTGGGGACTCATGGGCTGAAAAAGGTGTGCCTGAGGCTGCAGGGTCCCCAGGCCTTGCAGCGGCTGCGGCTACAACGCAACGGGCTGAAGGTGCTGCAGTGTAATGCGCTGGCGTCGTGTCCTGTGCTGCAAGAGCTAGACCTGTCCTGGAACCGGCTGCAGCAGGTGGGCTGTGCTGGCCAGCTGCTGGGCAAGAAGCAGCAGGAGGAGCTGGAAGTGCTGACAGTGGAGCACAACCTGCTGAAGAAACTGCCGTCTTGTCAGGGGGCCCAGGTGCTGCCACGGCTGTACAACATTTCCTTCCGCTTTAACCGCATCCTGACTGTTGGGTTCAATGCCTTCGCCTACGCCCCAGCCCTGCAGGTGTTGCAGCTCAATATTAACAGTCTGGTGTTTCTGGACAGGCAGGCACTGCGGGGGCTGCACAACCTGACAGAGCTGCGTCTGGACAACAATCTGCTGACCGATCTCTACAACAACTCCTTCATTGACCTCCACAGCCTGCGCACCCTCAACCTGCGCAACAACCGTGTCTCCGTCCTCTTCCCTGGAGTCTTCCAGGGGCTGTCTGAGCTGCAGACGCTGGATTTAGGGGGCAACAACTTGCGCCACCTGGCCTCACAATCACTGCAGGGACTGTCCAAACTGCGTAGGCTGTACCTGGACCGCAACAGACTGTTGGAGGTGAGCAGCACAGTGTTTGCCCCGGTGCAGGCTACTCTGGGGGTGCTGGACCTGCGGGCCAACAACCTGCAGTACATCTCAAAGTGGCTGCACCAGCCACCACCCTTCCGCTACCTGAGCAGCCTGTACGACCTTAAGCTGCAGGCGCAGCAGCCCTATGGGCTGAAGATGCTGCCTCACCACTTCTTCCAGGGCTTGGTGGAGCTGCAGTGGCTGTCGCTGTCGCAGAACATGCTGCGGGCCATCCCACCAGATGTCTTCGAGGACCTGGGCAAGCTGCGCTCCCTGACATTGGCTGACAGCAGCAATGGGATACATGACCTGCCTGAGGGCATCTTCAGAAACCTGAGCAACCTGCAGTTCCTGGACCTGGAGAATGTAGGTCTGCACTCACTCACTCTGGAGGTTTTTGGCAACCTCAGCCAGCTGCAGGTGCTGCGCTTGGCCAGGAACGAGCTGAAGACCTTCAATGCCAGTGTTGCCAGCCGGCTGTCCTCCTTGCGCTACGTGGACCTGCGCAAGTGTCCGCTGAGCTGCACCTGTGACAACACGTGGCTGCAGGGCTGGCTGAACAACAGCCGTGTGCAGGTTGTCTACCCCTACAACTACACCTGTGGCTCACAGCGCAATGCCTACGTCCACAGCTTTGACACACGTGTCTGCTTCCTGGACCTGGGGCTCTATCTCTTTGCTGGGACTGCGCCGGCAGTGCTGCTGCTGCTGCTGGTGCCGTTGGTGTACCACCGCACCTACTGGAGGCTGAGGTACCACTGGTACCTCCTGCGGTGCTGGGTCAACCAGCGATGGCGGCGGGAGGAGAAGCGCTACCTGTATGACAGCTTTGTGTCCTACAATTCGGCTGATGAAAGTTGGGTGTTGCAGAAGCTGGTGCCTGAGCTGGAGCGCGGCTCCTTCCGACTCTGCTTGCACCACCGTGACTTCCAGCCGGGCCGCAGCATCATTGACAACATCGTGGATGCTGTCTACAACAGCCGGAAGACGGTGTGTGTGATGAGCCGCAGCTACCTGCGCAGCGAGTGGTGCTCTCTGGAGGTGCAGTTGGCCAGCTATCGGCTGTTGGACGAGCGGCGTGACATCCTGGTGCTGGTGCTGCTGGAGGACGTGGGCGATGCTGAGCTGTCTGCCTACCACCGCATGCGACGGGTGCTGCTGCGGCGCACCTACCTGCGCTGGCCTCTCGACCCCACGGCCCAGCCGCTCTTTTGGGCACGGCTGAAGAGGGCACTGAGGTGGGGAGAGGGAGGAGAAGAGGAGGAAGGAGAAAGTTTGGGTGGAGGGGCAGGAAGGCCCAGGGAGGGAGACAAGCAGGTGTAGTGGAGGTGTCAGCTGGCTGTAGGATGGAGGAAGATCAGCCGTAGGGTGGA